TCAAACCCTCTTGATCTATAAAAGTTTTATCTGTAAATGTTCTCACCCTTATTTTTCTTCCATCTGATGACAAACACAGCTGTTATTACCAATATAACCAAACCAACAGCTCCAGTGATGTACAATGAAAGAGCTGAAATAAAAAGTATATAATGAAACATAAAAACATATTTGGATGAAAGTTCTTACAAATGTTTGAAAAACTTTTCATGCAGCTTAATTGCATACAAAATGCGGTTAAAGTGACATGCTATATATGCACAATAACTTGATGAGAGTTGATGAGAAAAACATGAACTGCATGAAGGTTTAAATTCAGACGTGACTTTATAGGCAGAAACTGTCCAACTACATAAATACATCTCCACTACATCACATCTCCAATGACTACAAAGATATTCAGAAGTGAATCAATCACTGAACTGCAAAAATCAATCATTTTCTGCTTCCTGTAAGATAAGAGGCTTCTTTTGGATGTCTCTAATGTAATGGAACAAAATGGAAAATAAATATTTAAAAACAAAAGTTTAAAAGTCTTCTTAAAGCTCCAAACAAACAGATATTTTTGATGAATGTAGTCAGCTTAATCATCATAATCTAACCTGTTATGGAAGGACTACTTTTTGTTATTGTGGTTGTTCCTGGTGTTGTGTCGCTTTCAGATTTACTGTGCATTTTTGTTGTTGTTTTTGGGTCAACTGAATAAATGAAAAAATAGGGGAAAAACATGTTCAAAATTAGTTTCATAGTGTGCTTTATATGTTTTATATAGAACAACATTTTTTCTGCTTAAAATGTTACATTTTTCTATCACATAAATATTTAAGGTGATTTTAGTCATTTTAAACATTTGATCAGGATCTCACCTGTTTCCTCACCTGAGGGCTGTGAGCTAAACACCTGTACTCTTCCTGATTTAGTATCAGTCACCTCACACTTGAGTATTTCATCCCTTGATGAGTATAAATAATTATTCTTCAGAACAGACACAGTGGCAGCGCAGTGAGTCTGTGAAGTCACTATTTCTTTGTTCTCTTTGTCCACATCTTGACCTTTAAGCAGCCACTTCAATGTGTGACGACACTGTTCATTTTTCACCACAGAGCAGCTTAACGTCACCTTCTCAGTGTCCTTATGTTCAGTCACTGGCAACGATGGAGACAAAGACAGCTCAAATTAGTCAAGTTATCTTAATAACTATGATTGTTGTCATGTTTGAGAACAGTATGAAAATATTTTGATGTAAATACTCACAGGTAATAACAGAGAGATCAACCAACGACTGATGAACCAGAGTGTCCTCAGCTCGTGTTTTTCCTAGTTTGTATTGTTGACAGGAATAAAAACCAACATCCTCGACTGTGAGCTTCTTTATAAGCAGAGAACAGTTCACTGTAACTCTCAGTCTGTCTGATTGAGTTTTAGCTTGTTCACCAATCTGTCCAAGTGTGATCAGCTCTACTGTTGTTGGTTTGTTTCTTGGAGTAAACGTCCACGTAGTCCCATCACAGTTATTCTGCTCATCTATCACGTTTAGACAAGGCAGCGTGACGTCATCTCCAACTTTCATAAAAATGGATGTTTCATTTACAGATACTGTTGAGGAGACTAAAGAGAAATAGGAAAAATAAATTAGAATACAGAATTTTTTACAGTCAGACTGAAGATCATTTGAGATACATTTCTAAATAGAGCATGCTCAGCTGTCTTGTTTACTGTAAAGTTAGTGTTGGCAATAATACTGATAACATTTA